ATGTCTTTAAAATTGTTAACTCATGGGGCTGGGGATATAGCTTAGTTGGTAGAGCATTTGCATTGCATATACAAGGCTGTGGGTTCAGTTCCCAGCACTACCAGTAAAATTGCTAACTCACAAGTTTTTCTAGGAGGTTAGATAATTAACAGAGTGTTAGTTTCTATGAAATGTCTACAACGTAACATCCATTGCTTTTAGGATTTTTCTTCAACAAGGAAGAGATGGATAGTACATTCACTATACTTGTCTAATATTGGTTTTTACAGTTAGAAATGAGTAAATTAGATTTAACATCAATGGGATTAATCTTTATAAATGTGTTTGTTAGAGACATCTGATAAATTTACAAAGTTAAAGTGCTAAAACAACAATGGCTAAATATAAAATTAAGCTAGGTACATTGGCACATGCCTATAATTCCAGCAACTCAGAAGGCTGAGGCAGGAAAATTGTGAGTTCAAAGCCAGCCTCAGCAAAATTGAGGCACTAAGCAACTCAGTTGAGACCCTGTTTCTAAATATAATACAAAATAGGGCTGGGGATGTGGCTCAGTACCCCTGAGTTCAATCCCTGGTACCAAAAAAAAAAAAAAAAAAATCAAAATCAAAATCAAGTACTCTTGACTTCTTAAATTCTATAAGGTAATATATTTAAACATTAAATGTGTTTTCATAAATTGGTAAATGGAAAATGGATTGCTTTGTTTCTGTGTCTTCACTAAAAACAAGGTTACTAAGAGTTAAGGTTCTAGCAAGCGTTAATTTGTACACAAACAGTATAAGAGGTTTCAGTTGGGTTTCAATTAAAGCACTATAAGAACATAAAAGTATTTCATCTTATTAAAATAATTTATCTAAATTAAAAAATTTTTATAAGGGTTGTTTCAGAACGAATTTTAAAAAGGGGTCAACAACTAGGAAATAGATATATGTTTTAATATGAAATTTGAAGGAAAAAGAAATGTTTCTGGATAGTAAAGTAAAAAGTTGTAAAATGTCTAAGTAAGTTGCAAAAGGTTTATAGAGGGCAAATTTCAGAAAGTTAGTGTAAAACTTAGTTATATATATAAGCAGCACAATCAGTTAAAGTTATCCAAGGTTTTCCCCTAAGGTCAAATATTAAAACATTAGTCTGAGTCTGTTCTTATCAAGATAATTTCTTATGTCTGCTAAGTTTTATTATTTAGAGGAATTAGTCTTAAAGGAATTAGGGTTTAATTCCTTTCTTACTCTTGGTGGGGCTAACACAAATGTACATCTTAGGTTAAAATAACTATTGTCTTTCCTTTTAAAACCAGGGTTTACTCTGGTTAAACAACAACTGTTATTTTAGAGTATTATACTACATTACACATTCTGAATTTTTCTTTAAAAGCTAAACTTAGTTAATATAAGAACATCAATGTAATTGTGGTGCTGTTACTGGCCTCTTTGTATACTAAATGTATTCAAATCTTCCAAGTATACAAATCTTTTAGATATAAGGTTTAGAAGGATATTTTACCAAACTGGTATTCTTCAAACTAAAGTTTAAAGAAAAGGTTTGGGATTATAAAAATTATGTTTTACAAAAACTATGTTTCTTAGTTCATAGCTATTATACAAACTAAATATGTTTTTACTCTTGCTAATTTCATTTTGTATTTTAAGGAAAATACAAACTTTATAATTGTTATCTGCTAGTGCCTTACAAAAGTATAATTTCTAATATAACAACCTGAGTTAATTTGAGAGAATAGGCCATCACCTACAGTATAGACAGGATATAAGGCTAACTTCCAGTACTAATACTGATCTCAATTAAATATAAGGGGTAAATATTTGTAAAGGTATAGATATTCAAGTTAAAACCCAGTACTTTTACTTTAAGACTAGTGAAACTAGCTTGCTGGGATGTTTAAGATCAAAGTTTAGAGACTAAAGTTAAGGAAGTAAAAGGGCCAGGAAAGAAAAGAGCTGATATTTGACTCTTGCCCTGTGAGGTCAGCTTGAACACAGGGAATAAGGGGACTTCTCTAAGGGCTTTTGAGACTTTGGGTCACATGACATTCTGATCAGAGGGATTAATGAGACCCTGGAGAACAGAAAGCCAACCAATGCACATGCTGCAAAGAGGAGGGTCATTGTAGAGGGAGATATCCATGATGCTTCCAAGGGAAGCCCTATGGTCAACAAGACCCTCACCCATTGTGGCAGATAGCACTAAAGGAACTAAGAGGCTGCTGTCAAGTCCCCAAGAGCAACACCCCCTGAGGGAACTCAGCCAACTCTTTTTTTTTTTTTAAAGAAAAAAAACTTTATTCATTTATCTTTATGTGGTACTTAGGATCAAACCCAGCTAGGCAAGTGTTCTATCACTGAGCTACAACCCCAGCCTTCAGCTGACTCATAACAATAGTCAATTTGACCAGCTAAAACAGTTATAACAAAAGCACAGCCATATCCAGGCATTTAAAAGGAAAGACAATAGTTATTTTAACCTAAGATGTACATTTGTGTTAGCCCCACCAAGAGTAAGAAAGACTGGAGGCTACAAAAGAGGGATTCTTAGACAGGAGTACTAATAATTATCAAAAGAGATTATCAGAGTCGGAAGTTTTTTAGTCAATAGTCAATTTAAGGGCAGGGGTTGTGAGTCAATGGTAGGGCACTTGCCTAGCATGTGTGAAGCACTTGGTTTGATTCTCAGCACCACATTAAAAAAAAAACAAACAACATAAAGGCATTGTGTCCATCTACAACTAAAAATATTTTTTAAAAAATTAGTCAATTTAAGGCTACAAATCTTTCTAACTTTCTACACAAGTAAGCCTGATCTGTTTGCTAGTATGATTATCTAGCCTTAAGTGACAGAAATAACTGGATCTCTACTAAACATAAAAATCAGAAAACTACATAATTAGAAAACTACATCTTATGGGGCATCTATGACATTATAAAAACTAAGTGTTGAGTTTTCATTCTTTAACTCTGGCAATGTAACTAATATCCTTAAAGATTTACATTCCCAAATAGAGGTCATGTCCCTCACTGGCCTTGTTATAAGATCAACTTCTTAGATCTTACACCTCCTGGTGAGAGATTACTGATTTCTATCAGCATTATGATATTCATTGACATCTTCCAGATGCTATGACATTTTTTTCGTATTAATCTTATTCCAGTACTCATCTTTTTCTCACAGAAGCATCTACCTCTCCATGACTTTAAAATCTGTTGCTTTGGGCTGGGGATGTGGCTCAAGCGGTAGCGCACCCGCCTGGCATGCGTGCGGCCCAGGTTCGATCCTCAGCACCACATACAAACAAAGATGTTGTGTCCGCCGAAAACTACAAAATAAATATTTAAAAATTCAAAAAAATAAAAAATAAATAAAATCTGTTGCTTCCGAAACCAAACTTTTAACATCGACCCTCAATTGGAACTCAAAACAATTCTAAAAGGGAAACCCAAAGGCTTACCCCTGTTACCCCTCTCAGCCTGCAGCAGTCAGAGCAGTCATCAACCATTTCCCCTTATTGAAGAAAGGGCTCCATTCTCAGAGGGGGGATTGGTTGAAGGGGGGAAGCAAAAGAACAGGCAGCAGTGCAGGTGATAAATGATTGGGTTGGGAAAATGGGGGCTCATTCAAGAGGAAATAAAATACTAATACCTACCTTTCCTCCAACCTATTGCCAAGGATCCTCCCTGCAAAGAGCTGTCAATGAATGCTCCCCACCCTGCGACATCCCGCTTCCTGCCTGTACCCCTGGAAGGCTCCTTTCCTAAATTCTGGCCATATAGGCAAGATAAGGGGAGGAAGGGGGGTATGAGAAGGAAACCTGGAATGTGTAAAAGGGCAGGACACTGCCACTCTCTTGGACACTGTTAGATATGGAAAATCAAAACCCGAAGACGGTGTGGCCTGGGAAAGAGGAGTGGAAAAAAAAGCCATACATTGATAGCTTGAATCTCTTCCAAGATAAATCCTCTCCAGGTGCTGGCCACTGACCCAATCCCCATTGCAAAAACCCAAATTCTTGAGTGCCCAAACTGACACTCTCATTAAATCACCTCTATAAGCCTATATAAGCCCAAACTCCTCCTTTGGTCAGTGGCTCATTTTTCCACCAGGAAAGTGGGTCCCTCAGAGACCCTGTTGCCCGTTCCTGCATAGCCTATTCCTGCATGAAACTTTGTTCTTGAATAAAAGGCTGAGATGATCCCTTAAGTTTGCTTCCGGCCTGGTCTTTTTGTGCTAACAGGCATCAACTTGGACCCCCACCTCTGCAGAGAAGTCCCTGTCCCTCTCTATTCTATCCTTTAAATAAAACTTTTTGTGCTTGCCTTGGAGTTTCTTGGGTATTCAATCTTCAACACTGGGGGAACAGGATTCAAACTTGATTCTCAACACAGGTATCACTAAATGTGATTTATTACCAACTTTATTGCTACAGATGGGAGTGAAGGAATGCTTGCATCTTTTGCAAATTATCACTTGTAATCCTGTAGTTGTGGATGGTGCTGGATGAGGCAGGAAGTGGGTAGGTTTGGGGTTTGGATGGAGTTGAAGGGAGCTGAGTACACATGTGACCCTAAGTGGGGTCAGGAGAGACTGATGTAGTCCATATGAATGCAGAAGTAGCTCTATACATGTTTTCCAAAATAAAAGCTCAAGGAGGAAAATCTAGGGAAATTACTGCTCTCGCATGTTCTTTACCCTATCCTGCTAGATATGTCCAAGGGTCAACATTTTAAAAATGAAAAACCAATAAACCAATATTAATTTTCTACCAGCTTTTAAAGGGTGGAGAATCCCCTACGAAGACAGGGTATATGTTTGCACATGATTTGAAGGCTTGGGAAGAAAAGCACAGCTTGGCCCCACAGTGCAGCAAGTTCAATGATTCAAATATTCTGGCAACCCCAATACCTGATGAGAGTGGCCGGAAGGTGGAAGATCTTCATGGGCATGAGGTCAACTATGTTTCAAACGATTGGTTCTTGAACCAGAAAGAGTGCACCAGAACAACTGGTATTTTATTTAGAAATCCACACTCCTTGAAGATGATGATGTGTTTTCTGCCTTCTGAAGATGATTATTTACACTGGGGCATGAGGCCTAGAAGCTCTTTCCAACTCTGCACACACTGCCTCTTACTGAAGCATGGCTGCCATAGAGGATTCTAGCTCTAGAACAGCTCTTCTTGCCTATGCCCTTGTTGTTTATACACACATACTTACATGTTACTTTAACTACTTACATGTTACTTTTTACCACATGGCTAGGATTGGTTGTGAATTTTGTACCTTTTAATATGAGAAAAATAAGTATTTTACAAGCACTGATGAGAAGCCAATATTAGAAAATAAAATTTGCCAGTTGCTTGAGGCAAGACAGATTTACTCTCCACCCTCTTCACCACCCTCAGGAGGAGCAGAGGTCTGTGATGGGGCTTCATCCCTGGGAGAAGAACAAAGCCAAGGTTGTTACTCTTGAAAGGAGCAATTAAGCTTTTCCTCACCTCTTCATTTGAGAATTTTATATCACCCCCAGTCACTTACCCAGCATCCTTATTGAAAATCTCATCCTCATCAGAGGAGTCCTTGTCATGTAGCTTCTGTGCCATGTTTTTCTTACGTGTGGCATTGAGAGGTCTGTACATATCCCTAAGCCAAAGTGGCCGCCTTAACCAGAAAAAGCCCTCCTAGAAAACAGAAAGGGGAACATTAATTCTGCTTCCCGCTGCCTTCCCTGGCCACAGCACTGGGTCCTCTTCAGATTTACCTGATTTTCACTTTCCGTTGAGCTTCTCCTACACAGAAACCCGAAAAAGCTCCTGGGGGGAAACACATGCACAAGACAATTAGTGATGGATGCCATTTTTCATGTCTTTTTTGTAATGTGCACCTTTGGTCTTTTTAGGACAAAGCCAGTACCTTAGTTCATAAGTACAATGAGCAAAATCATGCTAGACCTGGGGTCCTAAAAACAATTCCCTGCATGCTGGGCTACCAGAACTCTCTATGTATGTTCCCAAAGAGCCACATGAGCATAGGCAGGATTAGCAACTCTGCTTACCCTCTTGGCTAAGTACCTTGTACAGTACACAACCATACTGGGCTGAAGTGTTACTCTCTCCAGAGCCTTTCACATCAGTCCTCTTTGGACTTAAATCTCACATGTATCATCATTTTGGGGTGGGGAGCAGGGTGGCTCTTGAGGGAGAAGGTGATTCTATTTCCTAGCTGCTTTATCCTACAAGTTGAATTACATCAAGTAAATACCAAAGTCCAATTAGTAAAGTTGTCTAGCTCACTGATTTCCATATTGCAGGCTGTCACTTATGATTGAGTTGTAAAATCAGTTTAGACATATACATAACAAAAAATAATAGGAAAAAAAAACCTGTGCATTGTTTCAAACACTGCTGATGTTTACATTGAAATGTGTCTACTAATTCACAATATCAAATGTTGCTCACAGCCCAAGTGTGGGTATAATTAATGGAGAAGTACCTAGCTGGAAAGGAACCATTTTCTGACACTGTGACCACAGGGTAAGATATTTTCCCTTTCTTATTCTCCATTTCTTATTATAAAAAGAAGAGACAAACTACTCTTTCTAAGCTCCCTGTTAAAATTCTATGAAATCTAGGTAAAAGGAATAGAGAGTGGGGGTGAGAAGGTGACCAGTAAGGCAAGAAGGTAAAGTTTTCCTACCACCTGGAGAAAGGACTCATACATTCCACTTCTATTTCTGCCAGCCTGGAAGGGGAATAGCACAGCGTGCTAATGACCCAATGCCTTCCCTGTCCCTGAAAGCCTCAAAGAAGGGCTCCAGCTGAGTGTGATGCACGTGAACAGTGGGAGCAGGCACAGCCCAAACCTCTTGCCCTCCACTCTTCTTTCCTTAAGGACTGGAAACAGCAGATGCATCCCTGCTAGTGCCTTTGACCTCAGCAGGCCAGGGAACTAGTTTTCCTGGAGCCAGGGGAGACATGAGAGGAAGTATTCTTCCTGCCTTTAGCAGTTTCCTCACTGTTAAGATTGAAATAGATGAGTTCTAAAATTCTCATTTAAGGGCTAGGATTGTGGCTCAGCGGTAGAGCGCTTGCCTAGCATGTGCGAGGCCCTGGGTTCGATCCTCAGCACTACATAAAAATAAAGATACTGTGACCAACTAAAAAATAAATATTAAAAATAAAATAAAATTCTCATTTTAATACTGCAGGGTTCATATTTACCTTGAGGACTTTTCTTTATCATCTTGTGATGCTGTTTTATGGGAATAAATCTGTTTTGGAAGAAAATACAGTCATAAGTATCACAATGACTACTAATCTCCAAGTCTCTATTCATTCCTTTTATTTATTTTGTCTTATCTACCCAGTGAGATAATAACTTTTCTGAGGGCAGGAATTCTATCCTTTTAATGGTTCTCTGACTCTTCCATAGTACCTAGCTTAGGGTCTTGCATGCAGCTGGCACTTAATATATTTTATTGACTGTTTTAGATAAAATTCAACAGATAATTCCTAATAAAAACACTTAACAGTAGAAAAAGAAAGAACTACTTAACTTGATAAACATGTCTGCCAGAACTTTAAACAACTGTGTCGTTTTAAAATCAAGAATAAGAGTAGGATGCCTGTTATTGCTGCTGTTCAACCTCATTGAGGAGGTCTTAATCAATGTAGTATGAAAAATAAATGGGGGCATAAATGGGGAAAGGAACTGAAACTATGTATCAAAAATGGATTCTACTGTTATGTATAACTAAAAAGATCCAATTAAAAAAATCTATGTAGTGAAAATACTAAAATTCATCTGGGTGTGGTGGCACACACTTATATTCCCAGCAGTCCAAGATATTAAGGTAAGAAGATCAAGTTTAAGGCCAGCCTGGGTAACTTTGAAATACCCTATCTTAGAATAAATGAAAAATATTTTTAAATTTTTTTTTTATTGTAGCTCAGTGGTAGAGCACTTGCCTACCATGCGTGAGGCACTTGGTTTACCGCGTAAAAATAAAATATGGAAGAAAATGCTTCCTTTTAAAAAATAAAAATAAAAAAGACTGGGAGTGCAGCTCAGTGGTGGAGTGCCCCTGAGTTCAATCCCTAACACCACAATAAATAAATAAATAAAGCAACTGGAATTAAGTGGTGTGATGGTATAGAAAAAGACACCTGGATCAATGGGAAAAAAAGAGTCCAGATAAAGATGGTATTTTACATAAGTGAAGAAAGAATCAACCATTAATTAAAATAGTTTTAAGGGCTGGGGTGGTGGCTCAGTGGTAGAGCACTTGCCTGACATGTGTGAGGCACTGTGTTAGATTCTCAGCAACACATATAAACAAATAAATAAATAAATAAAGGTCCATTGACAACCAAAAAAATATTAAGAATAAAATAAAATAGTTTTGAAACAACTGGGTATTCATGTAGGGGGGAAGAATTCCCTATTCCAACCATACTAAAACAAAACACAAATTCCAGAAGGATTAAAAATATAAATAAAAATGCAATGTTAGAAAAGCACTAGAAGAAAGTATCTGAAATCACCTTTATTCCATGAGGTAACAGAGACCTCTCGTTATAACAACAGCTCATCCATGGCCACAAGGCAGTGCTGGTGACAGAGGTGGGTGGCTTGACTAGAAACACACCTACTCTTCACAGCCCTCCCCCTTGTCTTTTTTTCTTATGGATTTATTTTCTTAAGGACTAACATATTTAGTATAAAAAAAGTTTTATAAATCCATGTTAGTCCTTACAATGGTTTGCAATGGTTTTCTTTGTATTTCAACATTTCAAATATTTCCCAGTATTTTTGTCTCTTAAGGAGGGGAACAGGCTTTGTAATAGGAATTGGAATTTTGCTCTTGGTTAGCCACCGAGGTCAGTTGATCTCCTTCATTTGTAAAAGAGGGTTTATAATATTCTCCTACAGGATTTTTGTGAGGATTAAATAAAATAACATGTGGAAACTGTTTGTTCTATATGCTTCACATCCATACATACTATTTGCTAATGGGCATCAGAGATAGGATGGTCACATCTGCTAAAGACTGCTAAAGGTTTCTGCCTGTGGCTATCAGACTTAGAAAGCTCTTTTCCATCAGGTTATAAAAAAATATATATATTGCTTCTATTTTCTTCTATTACTATCATGATTTCTTTCTTTTTTTTAACATTTACTGAAATATGTTTAAGGTGAAAAGTAGGCATCTTTTATTACTTGCTCCTTCATTAGGCTTCTATTACTATTAATTCATTTTTCCCCAGTGATTTGAATTTTTTTATATTTATTTTTAAGATGTAGATGAACAAAACACAATGCCTTTATTTTTATGTGGTGCTGAGGATCAAACCGGTCCTGTCTGTGCTAGCCCGTGCTAGCGCGCTCGCGCTGAGCCACAATCCCAGCCCCCCAGTGATTTGAATATTAAAAATGACATTTAAAAAGTCTCAGGGGCTGAGAGTGTAGCTTAGTGGCAAAGCATACCCAAGGCCCTGGGTTTGATTCTTAACACATAACATGCATGCATATAAATATATGCAAACGTATTAGGATCACTTGAGTCTATTGCTTAGACTCTGTATGCTACTTCAGATACTGGATTACATGATTCCTCATTGTGGAATTGACATAATATCTCATTTCTTTTCTTTTGAACACCATATTGTCCACTATAGTAGTATCTACTACTACATCCTCCCTTGTCTTCCTAGAGCTCATCATCTAAGTGGGGAGAGGAAATAATAAAAATATAAATAAACACGAATATAAGATTGAATTGTACATACAAATTTGTTTTGGGACAGGGATAGACCCCAGGTGCATTTAATCACTGGCCATACTCCAAGCCCTTTTTATGTTTTATTTTGAGACATAGTCTCACTAAGTTGCTTAGGGCCTCACTAAATTAACTGAGGCAAGCTTTGAACTTGTGATCCTCCTGCCTTGGCCTCCTGAGTCACTGGATTATAGCCATGCCCCACGATACCCAGCTGTATAAACAAATTTAAATCAGTATAAAATTTTACAGAAATTCCAAGAAAGGTCACATGCCACCCAGAGATGCAGATCATACCATCTGTGCAATGGCCAGTGATAATCTTCCCAGAGGCTTTTTGCAAACTGACCCCATGTGTAAGCACCCCTTAGGCTCAGAAATTTGACTCTGTCTTCACTGAGAGAGAACTTACTTCTTCCGAGAAGTCTCACCTTATAGATGCTACAGGACTGACCCCAACACAGATTGCCAGAAAATGACCTGATAGTAAGAAATACTTCTGCTCCACAAACAGAACATCTGTCTACACCACAAGGGAATTGCTTCTCTGTAGAGAGGCCTCTGAGGCATACTTAAGCCCAACTGGAAAGCTACTTGGTGAGAATAGAATTAGAACAAAAGGGCTACGGTAGATAGATCCATTCATCTCCTCTCCTGGCCAGGCAGGGGTTGTCCGGCCAGTGAAACTGACTCCACACCTGCCCAGGGATCCATTGCTACTCTCGCAAAATGTTAGGATGGGCACTACTCAAACCAGTTTCCTTTTTTTTTTTTAATATTTTTTATTGTTGATGGACTTTATTGTCTTTATTTTTATGTGGTGCTGAGGTTCGAATTCAGTGCCTCACGCATGCTAGCTGAAGACACTACCACTGAGCCACAACCCCAGCCCTCAAACCAGTTTCTTTCTTGTCTTTTCTATGCTTTTACTACTGACCAGCTCTCCTGTAGACATATTTTTCTTTCCTTTTTTGGTACTGGGGATTGAACCCAGCCTACTCTAGCTACTCAGCCCTTTCATTTTTTTATTTTGAGAAAGGGTCTTGCTAAGTTGCCCAGACTGGCCTCAATTTTCCTGCTTCAGACTCCTAAGTCACTGGCAGTATAGGTGTGTGCCATCATTCCTGGCCTGGACCTATTTTTCTGTAGATATGTAATATACTCAGTCAGGTTTCTATTCAAGTCTGAGCCATCTGATCCTTATATATTTCTGTTCCACTCCATTAATGGAACAGAGATGTTGGTGTTTCTCTCTCCTATAGCCATACTTTTAAAAAACTGTTTACCAAAAATTTAAATTTTGAAGGGAGGGACAAAGCTTCACAATCACCTCAAGAAATGGAGACAAATCTCATAGTTGGCATAGGTCCAGGAGAACTGGGGTATTCAGAGAAGGCTTTGTGAAGAAAGATGAACTTGAGTTGGTTTTTGACAGATTCATAAAATTTCCACAGACATGGCAAAGTAAGGGAATTTTAGATAGGCAAGGAATGAGCATGGTGTGACAGGTATATGGAGAGGCTGCTCTGGCTGGAATGGAGGACTGCTATTACAGTAGAAAAGGCAAACTAGCTAAGTTGGGTGGTTAAATTGGGAGGGTAGAATCAAGATTGTCAGCTTATTAAATGACTCTTAATATTCTAAACCTGCCTATTGAGAAAAGTAATAAACCATCATGTAAGCAAACACTGAGTCTACATATAGCACTTTTATCTTTTAGCCCTCTCCTTTTACCCCAGGGTAATGACTGCTGCTTGAGAGTGAAGTCATCTCTTGTCATTTCAGTAATAAGGAAAGAAATCAGTGGTAGAATGAGAGTACATCAAAACTTTACAAAAATGAGAGTAACAAATTGTGGACATGGTTTTGGGTTGGACAAATTTTGCTACGATGACATCTCTGGCCACATTAGTCTTAATTTCTTAAGAAATTATTGCTTGTTCTCTTGGTTTCAATTTCTCAAAGATTCCCTGGAAATGAAGTTCCTTTAAAAGTCTCTGGGGCTGGGCACTGTGAAGCACACTTATAATCCCAGCTGCTTGGGAGGCTGAGGCAAAAGGATTGCGAGTTCAAAGCCAGCCTCATCAATTTATCGAGGTACTAAGCGACTCAGTGAGACCCTGTCTCTAAGTAAAATAAAAAAAAGGGCTGGAGATGTGGCTCAATGTTCAAACACCCCTGGGTTCAATCCCTGGTACCAAAAAGTAAAATAAATAAAAATCCCTAGAATATATTTTTCAATAAAAGAACAAAGCATAACTCAGTGTTAGTGACTGAAGAGAAATGTCAAGTAGTAGGTGGGGAAGGAGCTTTGATTTTCAGGGTATACGTTCTAAATCTATTACAATGATAAGATGTATTCTGGAAAACCTGAATTGATTGTTGTCCTTACCTCAATCAGACAGAAAATTATAATCAAAATCATCACCACTACAGTCACAGATATTGCCAAGATGAGTTTGTTGTTATAACCATATCCTGGGACTCCTTTTGTGAGCTAAAAGAAAGAAAAAGAATAATTTTTATTAAGTAAAAAAGAGACTGGGAAAGGATGAAAGTTAACTATTCAAAATTTCCATTCTTCCAGGTGAATAGCTTGCAGTTTGTTAAAGAACACACCAAATTTAATATGTTACATCTTATTATCACACATTTTTTTCCTATTATTTGTTTATCTTGTGTGTTAAGTCCACTTTATTCTCTAATGGAACAAAATGGGGATCACTGTCTTGGGCAAAGTTATGTGGCCAAGACAAGATGTGGACTAGAAGCCCCTGGTCTTCCTGCGAATGCTTCAATTGTATAACCTAAATGATGAAAAAGTCTGGGCTTCTTGTTCAATAGTTGCCCTCACCTCACTTGTCTCCTCATGCTCTTTGTTATCACCCTGGGCTTCTGTGCTCTCATTGATATAGTTCTCAGTTTTCCACTGGTCCGTATCCCATTCGGCCTTGGACACCTTGATTTCTTGCTGCTCACTGAGAAGCTTCATCAGGAGGCCTGTTCTGGAGATGAGCTTGGCACAGGCCAGTTGCACATAGGGCTCAGAGCAGTCCAATTTCAAAGTCCGAATAACATGAGAAATGAGCCTTCTCACGTCATTGTTGGGGATGAGGGACCGAAGTTGCTGGTTTAGCTGAATTTCAAACTGATCACCTGGGGATGCCGTCAATGGGTTGGATAAGTCTTCAGGCTTGGGTTGTGAGTCAGTGTTCGCGTTGAGGTATTCCCATTGTGTCTCATTGGTTTGTTGAACAGTTGGCATTATGTTGAAAGGAGTCACAGCAGAATCTACAGCCTCTGCAGCGGCGTTTTCATAGGTTGCATTTTCAGAGGTGGGTTCATCCAACACAGTAATGTTTGCTTCAAAAATAGTTTTTTCAGGAGGAATTTTTGCAGTATTGTTTTCTGCAGGAACACTTTCTATAGGTTCTGAAAGAGCATATAATCTTGAGAAAGGATTCTCCTGAGAATTCAGGTCTCCTAAAGATGAAAAGGCCCCTCGTGGGGGGGAATTTATGAGGCTCCTTATTGCAGAGAATGGGGGCCTCTTTGCAAGCATCAGTCTATTGTGCAAATTATCCTTTCTGAACTTTCGACTCACTTTGGCCTTGGGTATTCTGTGGGCTGCAAGAGGGTAAGTTTTATGAAAGCTGTGAGTTTTTTTGGACCGTATGACTGGTTTATCAGCCTTCATGCTTTTAACTCGAGCATTTGCATCTTCTAAAACAAAAAGGGGGTAGGTTAAATCTTTTGTTTTGTTTCTAATCTCAGGCTTTAATTTTGAAATGGCGGAGGTGGGAGATTTGCCCAAGGAGTATTGTTTCAAAAAAGAAGAGACTGCTGCCTTATGTTCATTTGTAAATGAAGCGTCCAGGAGGGAGTTTCCCACTAACTTCCTGGGCCTCCGCACCTTGTGAAGCTGCTCTAGTTCCCTTGGGATTGGTCTCCTGAGCCTGCTTTCTTGGGCAACATTCTCCACAAGTGCCCGGGAACTCTGTTTCCTTCCCATACTCTGTTTTCTCATTTCATTGAAGTGTCTTTTCCATATTCCCTTTGGCCCCTTGAGGACTCTGTTCACTCTCTGCAGCCTTTTCTCTATACTCTCAATCTCTGCTAGGCTATTTTCCTGTGGTTGGGCAGTTTCCAATTTCTTTTGAAAGATTTGGCGTTTAAATTTGGGACCTAAAAGCCTAGATTGCATAAGCATGGCAGTTTTTTCTTTTTTTTTCACCTCATCAATTTTTTCCTGAATTTCTGCATCTAACAAATTTTCCAGAAAATAAAGCTTCTTTAATTTGTTTTTATAAGTTGAATTGTTGGATTCAGTTGAAAGAGAGGAGTTATTTGTATTGTTCTTCAAATATTCCATGGCATTACCTCCATCTTGTACGTTTGAAAAAAGCAGTTTAATGAATGGTAATAATGTTGACTCTACATCTTCTAGATTTCCCTCTGAGAAATATGGCAATATGTAATTTAATGCACTTATAACATCACTTTCATCATTGAAGTCTAGCTGTTCATTTAAGAATCCCGAAAAGGTGACACCATTTTTATCTGAAGCTGGCTTTTCAGGCTCAATAGAAAGCTCAGTGCTAGTGTTCTTCTTCCGGGCCTGTAACACCTTCATGAATGATCCTTCTGCATTCCCTACAGATGCATCTTGAACTGTCAAAAAAGAAGAGACTACTTTTGATAACAGAAGACTGATGGACAGCTTTTTGTCAGTCCACAGCCATACATTCCAGCCAAACATTTAAGTGTCATTTGGAAGAAAGAAAAATAATTTCATAATTAAACCTATGAAATGGCAACAACACAAAGAAAAAAAAGACATCTTTTTTGATAAAGTGCTACTTAACTCAGAATATTCCACACTGTATATAAGAACTCTGTTTAGGACAGCCAACTGCCCAATACTCAATAAAAGCCCAAGACTAGAAGAGAAATATTTATGGGCTCTGAGAGATTCTCTACAGATCAGCTGTGTCTCCTTACATTTACATACCCCATGCTGTCCCCGCTCAGATACAGAGGGGGCACAAGGCTTCCTCTATCCACCTCTTCAGTGTGTCATGTTCCTGCCACCATCACAGATGATCATGACAAAGGACATTCTTCAAAGGAGAATAAGAACCAAGATGCTAAAGCACAGGCTCCTCTCTTTCTGTTAACACATCCTCCCCTCATCTAAATATGTCCTTTCCACCTGCTCACCCAGTTCCTTCACCTGGCCCCTGTTCCCCATACATCTTAGGCTCCATAACAGATGCCTCTACACAGGAAAAAAAAAAAAAAAAAAAAAAAAAAAAACGCCCCACCATATCCATACTGGTTCTTTCCCTAAATTAAGGCAGAGATCTGGGATGTGAGTTAAAAGATTTTTTAATTTGCCTGGTTCTATGCCTATGCTGAATGTGCAATAAATCTACAGAATAACAGCATTTTCTGGATAAACAATACTTGAGGTTCTGAAGTACAGTAATGGAAAAGCTATTTTTGTCAGAAGCCTTCCCTGTTTTCATATTAGATGTGAAAACTAGCAATTCTAGCTCTGGGAATCATCCAAAGCTTCTAACTACATGAGGTCAAGTGTACCATTGTGTAGCTGGATTTTTCTTTTTTCCTTTTTTTTTGGTACCTGGGATTTGAACCCAGGGGCACTTAACCATTGAACCACACCCCCAGATCTTTTTTATTTTTTTATTTTGAGACATGGTCTCACAAAATTGCTTAGGGCCTCACTAAGTTACTGAGGCTGGCTTTGAACTTACAATCCTCCTGCCTCAGCCTCCCAAGCCACTGGGATTGCAGGCCACCATACCCAGCAATAGCTGGTTTCTTTCCCAGGAGAACTAAAAGTATTTTTTGTGTGGTGAGAGTCAAAGAGGAGGTAAGGCTGGAGACAAAAGAGGAATGTGGGTTAGAATTGGGTACAGAAGACCTGGGTTCAAGGCTATAGCACTTGACACCTCCCATCTTGTTTTCCTTATCTGTAAATGGAGATGAAAAATACTTGTTCTGCTCACCTCTGGGGAAAAAGGAAATAATGTAACTGGTGAAAAATCATTTTGAAAAATAAGTTATATGCATGTAATAAGTAGCAAAGTGCTATTAGTTATAATTTGCCCAAGATCACTGGTAGAGACCTATATTTGAGCTATTTGGATATGAAAGCAACCACATTTTGGAAGTCATGAAATTAGTGCTAATAAACCTAATACACAGAAAAACATTTGAAAGCACATGAATTACCTGAGGATAGAAAAGTTTGAGATTAAGAGAAGTTCAGAGTTGGATGGTCTAGGTGCAATTTCTTATTATAGAATCAGAAACTCCTAGACTTCAAATAAAATATTTATTCTCTTTTATAAAGTTGCACAAACAGATCAAAATAGATTGATGCCTGCCCTATAAGGCAGCGGACACTTGAGACCTAGTGTATAAAAAAACAGCTTACTAACTGCATTGTACTATATGAATAAGTTATCACTGGAAGACAAAGTACCAAGCAGAAAGCACAGGACACCATGTGTGGCCATTAATATTATTCCTTCTCCCTTCTATTCCTTTCTCTTCCATTCTTAGGCATATGGAATAGCTATATTATTAAATTATAGCTGAAAACCTCACTTTGAGCAAGAGAGCAATCCAGAAATTTAGGGAGTTGAATTCTAGATAAATAAATAAAAATAAAGCAGTTTCATCATTAGTTTGAAAAATCTATGATCACCAGTTAAAAGTTGAATAACAAAACAAATAAAAGTTAAGACATTTCTCATCAGGCAATTCAGACTCACGGCAACGTGTATTGTTTGTCCGACATGCACTGTCACATCGCAGCTTCACTGTCTTGCAGACAACTTCAATATTATTTTTAAACTGGCAGAGGCAGCAGGCCAAATGGCTAGGTAAGATCCTATAAATAGAAACACAGAGGATTAAGTTAATGGAAAAGGAGATACTTGAGTAGTAGAAGAACAGTCCAAGGCTACCACAGGACAGTGTAGAAAGTAGTTCTTGATACATATAGCCTGGACAAGTTGGATAGAAACCAATGGTAAACTGTTTTTTTAATTATTATTTTTGTACCAGGGATTGGATCCAAAAGTGCTTAACCACTGAGCCGTGTTCTCAGCCCTTTTTATTTTTTGAGACAGGGTCTTACTAAATTGCTTAGGACCTTGCTAAGTTGCTGAGGCTGGCTTTGAACTCATGATCCTCTTGCCTCAGCCTCTTGAGCAGACAGGATTATAGGCATGTGCCATGGTGCCTGGCATGTGGCTCTTGAATACTGTAAATATATAGGAAGGAGGAGGGAGATGCCAACCAGAAAGGAAAGCATGGCAGTGGGTATGGAAGGCCTAAATAAAAAAGAAATTAGAATTGGGTGACAGTAAAAACATCTCCTTTCAACTTAAAATCTTGCTCTGGGTTAGGAGTGCACAGAAAGATAGAATTCTAAGAAGGATCTGAATAAGTCTCCAACTACTAGAGTCCATATCTCAATTCCGTTTGAGAGTGGTAAATGGTAGACATTATTCTGGGCATAAACAATAGCTTAGTTTAACTCACATTGTGTGGTTAAACAACAATAGAAATCACATTGGCCAAATCTGGACACTTTGACATGTAAAAGCATAAAGAGAAGAAATGTGCATAAAAATAGATATTAAATATCATCAGCTATTAAAGAAATGCAAATTAAAACCACAATGAGATACCACTACATTCCTACTAGTAGAAAGGCTAAAAAAATATTATTCCTTGAAACAAGAAATAACTTGAAACAAGGATTAGATGAAGACATGGAGAAACTGCAACTCTTCTATTTTGATAGTAGATATGCTAAGAATTATGCTAAGTGAAAGAAGCTAAAAATCTACTACTAGATGATTTTATTTATAAGACATTCTGGAAAATTTTAAACTATAGGGAAAGATAAAAGATTTGGTGGGGGCTGGGGATGTGGCTCAAGCGGTAGCGCGCTCGCCTGGCATGCATGCGACCCGGGTTCCATCCCCAGCACCACATACCAACAAAGATGTTGTGTCCGCCGAGAACTAAAAAAAAAAAATATTAAAAAAAAATTCTCT